ATACATAAGGTGGAGGGTTAGGTTCAGCTACGTATCACACTTTCTTGCATCCCAGCAGTACTATTAGAGACGGATCTTGACTTATTTTTAGCTCTCCGAAGAGAAAATCAGTTTTTCTGTGATTCATTATTTAGGTTGTTATTTACCCTGTGCTCAAGGAATTGCTTTAATCAAACGTAAGAAAAGAAAGACATTGAATAGCTTTTCTAGTGAATGTTTGCTGCTGGCAGTGTACTGCTATTAGGGCGGTTTTTCAAGGAGTGAAAATTGGTCGGATTTTGCATTTTTGATTGCTGTTTTTGACGTTTACCTGCGCTCAGCGAACTACGGTTAAGCTGAACAAAATTTAACTCGCCCCTTCGTCACTCCGACTTCCAGCGTCAACCTGGATGCTACAATCGGCTTAACTGGAGTATCAAGAATTGTTAATCGTGGGCGGACCCAGGACGGCCTCCTGGAGAGGGGGAGGGGGAGACGACGCGTGTACGGAAGAGAGTCTCCTTCAGTTTTAGCTTTAGCCTTAGACTTTTGCAGCACTGGTACCTGTGCCGCGGAGAGGAAAAGGGGGAGGGGGATGAGGGAGGCAAAAGGCCCATCGAATCCGCCTATACTTTTAATTCATCGTACGTTTCTTTGCGCTGTAATTTTATGATTTCTGCATTCGCACCACTTCATACCGTGAACAAGTCCATCTCAATGTTTTTTTAACACATCTTGGATGGCACAATTGTTTGTTTTTTTTTTTTTTCAAGGAAAGAGTGGAAAAAATTCATTCTAGCGGAACTGAGTCGAAGAAACATTTCTTACCTACTTTAATGATCCCTTTCATGTTTTTCATCTTTTTTTCTCTCACATTTTTCCTTTAACCCTAAATTAATACAGAAAAGTTGAACTGGGAAGGATTTGGGCCCAGAAAATTAAAATACATAAAGCTTAAATCAAAAAGCTGGACGGGGAAAATGTGTTTTTTATTCTTATTCTTTGAAATTCGCCAATTGCTATTAAAAACAGAATGTCACTAAAACAGATAATTTTTCAGATTTTCCAGAAAATTTTTCAGATAATAAAAACAGATAATTTTTCAGGAACAGGTGCATCATGTGTATATGCGTTACTGGGTGCAAGGCAGTGTGGCTGGAGATTTTTAGCAACTGATGCCGATCCTTCAGCCGTTCAGGTCAGCTTTTCATTTCACTTTTTATCATTTTTCGGCATCAAATCTGATAAATTGTCGTGGCGACATCGACGCATTTCGCAATGTTTTTGCTGTTATTCGAATCCAAACTTTATGATTTTACTGCTAGCCTTGTACTATCAACATGGCGTTGTTCCCGTATTCGCCTTTTTCGCCTTTTTTGCTGAAAAATCATGATAATTTTCCTTTTTTTTTGCTTATATAGTGGTGGGTCTTTTGTCATTTTTCTTCTGTCTGCTTTCAGTTACAGCGCTAATTTAATTTTGCTTTCTGTTTCGTTGTTTCGAATCGAAAAGACCAAAACCCCTCTTCATCCTGTCCGTTGATTGTTGAAAGGAACTGATTTCAGATGTGATTATTTCAGGTTGCAACTGCAAATGTACAGAGAAATAATTTAAGCGAAAGAATTGAAGTTGTTCGAGTGAATGCGGATAATATGATCAAGGTAACCATCGCATTTTTTGTGGCACAGTTGGGTATCAGCATCGAGCCCGTTCGGTAGATATCTAACACTTTTTTTTTAAATAATTTGGAATGTGCTGCAGCCTGTTGGCGCCAAACATACCGCTCCGTTGATGTTTGAAATACCGCGAATTTCTGTTTTTAAAGTCAAACAGTTATTTTAAAATGTAATTAAGACTTAGAAGAAAAATTTTTTTAATTGTTACTTTGGGAATTTTGATTACCAAATTTGATAAAATAGCCAGTTAAGCAGGGTTTTTTTAAAGTCTATTCAGTCGTTTGCCTTAAGAATGTAGTTGCGGGGATGACAGATTTAGCTTCAGTAATATGCTGATCAAATTTTCTGGGTTTTTTTCTCTAAAATCCCGGCACTTTTTACAATACTCATTACTCAGTGCATTTCAGGAGATTGTTCGTTCCCGTCCGGATGCTGATTTCACTTTTTGCATGTGTAATCCCCCATTTTATGAATATGACGAATTTGAAGAGGTTTGTTGTGTTTGTAAATTACATCTATTTCTTGTTTTGTGAAGAAGCAGTTCTTTGAATTTTGTTTGCCTAAAGACTTTATGCACTTTTTTGACATTATTATCTTACTAAAGATCGAGGATTTAATTCTTCAGTTAGAAAATCAAAGCATCTTCGTTTTTTTTTTTTGCAGCGGTAAATTAATGCCTACATATTCAGAAATTCAAAAGTGTGCTCAGCTTGGTCCTAAATTAATTTTAAACATAGGGATTATTGTGGTACCTTTACTAACAGGTGGTCAGTATCAAGCATGTTATGTATTTTTGGGCACTTTCAGCCGTTCCTGGAGAATGAAATATGCAGGGGGCTATGGCTCAAATGATACTTGGACCGATAGATTATCAAGGAGTAATAGTGGCACTGCTTGAGACGAATTGATGAAGCTTAGCACCAAGAAAACGACTAAAGCCTTGCCAGATGCTTCTGCTAGATGAACCATCGTTTTTTTTATCCCTCCTCCCCCCTCCCCCGCCCTCAGCGAGACGAAACAAACACTTTAGTGGCCAGAATTTTGACCACTGGACGATACAGCATTGGTCGAAACAGCTGAATTGTTCGAGCCTTGAATTCCAGCTCATCAAAATATTCCAAGTAGCCGCAGTGCACTCGCAAATGCGTAGAATCACCGATTATGCTGGAAAATTTCATTGTTTTTGCAGAAGTATGCTTATCTTACGGATGATGTAACAACAAATGCTGTTGATCGACCGGATCGTCGGCCACCACATTCAGCAACGATTGGTAAAAGCAGCGAATTGGCGTCTTCGGTAAGGGGAAAATTTAAAACTGTTATAGCGAGTCATGGAGGAAAAGCTTGCGTAGTTTTGTAGTTCTCAAAGCGAGGCATTCTGGGCATGACTGTCTCTTTAGTAAATAAAAAAAAGCCGAGATATGGTAACGGTAAGGAATGTATACGACGGTAAGAAATGTGTGGATCCAATTGTGGTAGCGGTAAGAAATGTATACAACTTAGTGGACCGAAACATTTCTTACCTATAACAAATATTTCTTTAGACCCCTTTCCCATTTTATTAGCCTTTTCCTCCTTTTCATTGTTTCCTTCTCCTGATATTTTCTTTTCAACCTTTAAAGGGAAAAAGATACTGCATTTATCAGTGGATAGTTCTTGGGCAATTTATGTTTCATCCCTTAGCTGTAAACACAGAGCAGAATTAGGTGTCCCTCCTACACAGCTTCCTACATGGCATGCATAAGATATGCATATGACTGAGTTTTGAGACTAGATTAGGGAGAAAATTTGAAAAAAAAAAAAAAAAAAAAAAACTAGATTATTGACAGAATTTGAAATTTGGAAGG